TTTTTTTTTTTTTTTTTTTTTTGTGCTGAGGATCGAACTTGGGACCTTGAGCTTAAGAGGCAAGTGGGGGAACTATTGAGCTAAATCCCCAGCTCCGAAAGTAGGTCTTAATACTCCTTTAATAGGGTGGTGGTGGTAACATTTTTTCCCTCCTGGTACTGGGGATCAAACTCAGGTCCTTGTACTTGGCTAGGCAGGTGCAGTGCCAGTTGTACCTCCCCAGCCTGGGAGGTACAGTGTTTATGTGAGAAAAGGGGCAAGGACAGAATCCAAGGTGACAGCACTGTTTAAGGGGTAGTTCAAGAAAAATGTGTTCATGAAGGTGCCTAAGGATAGGAAGAAAATCAGGAGAACAGTGTCATAGAGCTGAGAGTGAGAAGTGAGCTAAGGGTGTTGTAAGCCAGGCCACAGAAGGGCCCACGGAAGTAGGGACTAGGAAGTGCCATTGGAAGGGGCTTTCTTAGATTGTGTATAGGCTTTTTCATTTCTGGGCTTTTTTGGTTTGTTTGTTTTTTTGGTACCAGGGATTGAACTCAGGACCTTGCACTTATAAAACAGGTATGGTACCACTGAGCTGCATCCTTGGCCCCTGTGTCTAGGCTTTTTATGTTTGGTACCAGGGATTGAACTTGGGACCTTGTACTTGCAAGGCAGGTGGCAGAACCACTGAGCTAAATCCCCAGCCCCTGTGTATAGACTTTTTAAAAAACTATATATTTTCATTGCAGATAAGGAGAGGAATAAAAGCTGCCTGAAACTCAACCATCCCAAGATAAATTTTTTTTGCAGTGTCTGGTATCAAACTCATGGCCTCTCGCATGCTAGGCAAGTGCCCTATTCCACTGCCTTCTAACCATAGTCCCTATGATAACCATTTTAAGTATTTTTGGCTTATTATCCTTTCAGATTTTTTTCCTATTACCAAGGTTTTTTGTTTTTGTACTAGGGATTGAACCTAGGCCCTTTGAAATGAACTACATCTGTGGCCCTGTTTTTAAACTTTTAATTTTTCAGATGGTCTTGCCAAGTTGCCCAGGCTGGGCTCAAATTTGTGATCTTCCTACCTCAGCCTCCCAGAGTACATCACCATCCTCAGCTTTGATTTGGTTTTTAAGTGGGTTAAATAGTTAACAGACATTGAATAGATGAAGATGATTCATCCAGGTGCCAGTCAACAAATGGGAGTGATTGACTGCATAGCGTATATATAACTGACAAAGGGTAACAAGATGCAGTTTTGCTGATTGAAGATCAGGTTTTATAAAGAGGAGAGTAGAAAGCGAAGAAAAGGCTTAGAAAGTTAGGTCTGTAAGGTGCAGAATAGGAGTAGGAAGCAGGAAGCCTGGCAGCTGTGACTGTAATCAGGATGAGGAGGGAACTTTGTGAAGCAGCATGAGCATGCAGGAGTATGTGTACATTGAAGCAGAGTTCCACAGGGCACTGTGGGAGGAGCCGGTTAGGAGAGTGCTCAGGGTGGAAGCAGGGTCACTGAGGGAGCCAGAAGCTGTGTGAGAATTCAGGTTAAGAACAGTACACATGCGGTGGTGGTGGGGGTTTCTGGTGTGAAAAGAGAAAATTTCTTTGCTTCATAAACAGTTGAAATAGACTGCATTAGTTTATTCTGCTTTGCTTGGATCTTATTTATTTTGCAATACTGGGGATTGAATACAGGGCCTCCTGCATGCTGAGCATGCTGTCATTAAACTAGGCCCAGCCCTAGGTCTAATTTTAATTCCACCATTTTAGCTTTGTTTTTCTGATACCTGAAAATGGGTTTAATTTCCTCTAAAATTACATATTTATAATTTAAATATAAAAACATATCTTCACTGTTTTTAAGAATAGGGTTAATCAGGTAAGTAAAGAGGAAAAAACAAACCCAATTACTCAGGGACATCATTTTGGTGTCTAAAGACTTTTTCTCATTTAAGCAAATATATATGTGTTTAATTTTTCAAGATATATTCATATATGGCAGTCTACTATTTATTTATTTATTTATTTATTTGGGTTTTTTTTGAGACAGGGTCTCACTATGTAGTTGAGACTGACCTGAAACTCACTATGTAGTCCAGGCTGGTCTTGAACTCGCAGCAATCCTCCTGTCTCAGCCTCCCGAGTGCTTCAGGGTTGTACCACCATGCCCAGAGGTTGGCATTCTGCTTTTTAAAAAAACACCATTTAATAAATATCCTTTGGATATTATAATAGGTAGATTGCGCCTATCTTTTTTTTTGGTACCAGGGATCAAACTCAGATCTTTGAGCTTGCGAGGCAGGCGGTGGAACCACTGAGCTAAATCCGGCCCCACTCCTATCATTTTTAATTACAATAATCCATTATAGAACTGCACCATTTTAATTAAATAATCTCTTGTTGGATTTTCTTCTTTTTTGGGGGGGTGTTGGTTGGTTTTTGTTTTTGGTACTAGGAATTGAACTCAGGACCTTGTACTTGTGAGGCAGGCGGCAGCACCACTAAGCTAAATCCCTGGCCCTTTTCTTCATTTTGTTGGTGTGATACTGGGGATAGAACCCAGGGCATCATGCATACCAGGCCAAATGCTTTACCATTGAGCTGCACCTCCAGTCCTGTTGGTGTATTTTTGAATACACAGTACACCCTCCTCACCACTATCCCTGAGCTCCAACTGTCTCCTGCCTCAGGCTCCTGAGTAGCTGGGGCTGCAGGTGTACACCACTGTGCCTGGCTACTTACTAAGTTTTTATTAATAAGGCTAGAATAGCTGGGTATAGTGGTACATACCTATATTCCCAGCACTCAGGAGGCTGATTCAGGAGAATCACTGTGAGTTTGAGGACAGCCTAAGCTATATAGTGAGATCCTGTCTCAAAAAAAAAAAAAAAAAAAAAAAAAAAAAAGAAAAGAAAAACCTTAGCCAGGCATGGTGGTGCAGCCTGTTATCCCAGCTAGGGAGGTTGCCTGAATTTCAGGCCATTCTGGGTTTCATAGTGAGTTCAAGGCCAGCCTGAACTATGTAGCCAGACTGTCTCAATCCCCACTCCCTGCCCCTCAACCCACAAAAAAGAAAAACTGGAGAACTTTGTATGTAAAAATTGGCATATTTATCTGATTATTCCCTTTGGGTAAATTTTTAGTTTTCAAGTGTATGTTCTGGTGTAATTTCTGTTTTATTTTTGTCTTTTTTCTCCTAATATTTGGCTGTGAAATTCTTTTTGTGTTGCTAATTTTGAAACATGTTTAAATATCCACAGTGAACTCTGTAGAGTCAATGGGGCAGGCATGTATTAGTTTTAAGTTAGCAATTTACCACCAGTATTTGATAAACTGCTTAATGATTGTTTACCCCAGATAGGGAAACCAAAAATATTAGTCTGAAAACATCAAGGTTGCCTTCTTCCAAAGGTTTAGTGCATTTAGGACTTACTTGGGCAGTGGAATTGGGATAGTTATAAAAATTATTAAAACTAAGTCAGTGTTGTTTTCTGAATGGGTAGAAATGATTAATACCATTTTCTTTGGTTGCTTTTTTCAGGTGATTCATGGCAGGGGACGTGGAAGGATTCTGTTCCTCAATCCATGACACCAGTGTCTCTGCTGGATTCAGAGCACTGTATGAAGAAGGATTGCTTCTTGATGTCACTCTGGTTATTGAAGATCATCAGTTCCAGGCCCATAAAGCACTTTTGGCCACTCAGAGTGATTACTTCAGAATTATGTTTACTGCAGACATGAGAGAACGAGATCAGGACAAAATTCATTTAAAAGGTCTAACTGCTACTGGCTTCAGCCATGTCCTTCAATTTATGTACTATGGAACTATAGAACTGAGTATGAATACTGTTCATGAGATTCTTCAGGCTGCCATGTATGTTCAACTTATAGAAGTGGTGAAGTTCTGCTGCTCTTTTCTATTAGCGAAAATCTGCTTAGAAAATTGTGCAGAAATTATGAGACTCTTAGATGATTTCGGTGTAAACATCGAGGGAGTCAGGGAGAAGCTGGATGCCTTTCTCCTAGACAACTTTGTGCCACTCATGTCCAGGCCTGACTTCTTGTCCTATCTGAGCTTTGAGAAGCTCATGTCTTATTTGGATAATGATCATCTGAGCAGGTTCCCAGAGATAGAGCTGTACGAGGCTGTGCAGTCTTGGCTGCGGCATGACAGAAGACGCTGGAGACATACCGATACCATCATTCAGAACATCAGGTTTTGTTTGATGACCCCATCCAGTGTTTTTGAGAAGGTTAGTGACTTTGAAAGCAGTAGACAGGCTATAGGTCTTATTTCATTAAGACATAACATAAAATTGTCAGGAGCAAGAAAGGAATGAGAAGTTTATGAGAATATTTTACATATAAGAAGCCTGATTTTGTTGGAGCTTGTGCATTTAGGTTTTTTAAAATAGATTTTTGTGAGTCAAAGATGAACCAGGTAGGTAGAATAGTTTCATCTTCAAAGTACTTTTAAAGTTGAATCATAATCATTTGATGCAAAATATTACAGGTTTTTCTTCAGCTTTTCTTTTTACAAAGTAATTAAATATGAACTGGGTCAGCCTATTTTTGAAAATTAATTTAAGTAATACGTGCTGGAATTGGCATTGAGGAGTTGTTCAGTTCTGCATGGTATGCAATAATATGGTTTCTTTTTTCTCTGAAATGTAGTAAGGACACACAGGCATAGCTCTTGAAAACCAGTAGACCATACTAGTAATTTTCTTCCCTACTCTCACCTAGTTCTGTTTCCCTGTGAATACTAACTAAATTTAACCATGAAACCATATTATATGTCTAAAAACATCATCTTGGCATTTCTAAACAAGTAGACTAAATCCTTTATCTGCAGTGATCAAACATCCCTGTGTACATTTTACCATATGAATAGTTCTTTCTTAAAAATAATCATTCTTCAAAGTAGCCTTGACCTTTTTGTATGTAAGCATTTTCATTTTTTATATCAGACTCTCAGTTGTGATCCTTTCCTGCCCAAAGGAGAGAGAGCAGTTTCAGTAATTGCTTAACTTAATTGGTTTCTAATCACATGGTTACCTCTGGGGCTCTGTTTACCTCTTGCATCTTTTCTCCTTTCTAGAAAGCACACAAAGCTTGGTCGACACCTTTCATGTTAAACAGTTCCTCAGCTTTAGTTACCAGACCTGGTAATAAAAATGTATTTTCAAAGGAAGGTTGTTTATGCCATTTGAAAAATAAACAAATTTGCACCTTTGAATAACATTCAGTAGCTTGGCATGTTTTTTTTTTCCCCTTCTGAAATGCTGTGAAGTGTCATTATATTATACCTTTAATAGGAAACTAATTTTCATGGGCTTTTATCTTTGCTGTCAGAATATATTGATACCAAAGGAATAATTGAAACTAGGAAACACATTTCTTAATTTCCTTTTGTTCAGTGAGAATCAGCCCCATATTAACTATGTGAAATGTTTCTTATGTTTTGATGTTTTTCCTTACTATTGCTTTTATTGCTCTCTTTCCCTGGGGAATCCTATTTTGTCTTTATATATTAAGTGCAAATTCCCACTACTAAAAACCCCTCCAACTTGCATCTAGATGGACATTTTCATGACATAGAAAATAAAAGTTGCCCTCTGTGGGACAGTATGATAGATAACTAATAGCAGTAAGTGATTGTAAGTGCTGAGCTGCAGAGCCTTTGTATATTCTAACTATCAGTTCAAGGTAGGCAATAATGACAGTGGCTAAAAGTTAATACTATCAGGTAATCTTGTAAATTTTAGAAAGTATCAGTTGAACCTGCTGATGGATTCCTTTGGCATCTAAAGCATAGGAGGTGGTTATTACCATTGGCTAGATGTTGGAAGTTACAAAACATGAAGGGTTCCTCCTGGAATTGATGTGTTAGGAAAATTTAATAAGGACCTAGTCACAGAGAACTTTCAGTTTTTTGTATTATAAAATAAATGTTTTGGTTTTACCTCAGTAATACTGGGACGATAAGTAGAAGAGATCCAGTGATTCCTCCCTTAATACAATGTGTGATTTAAGTTTTATCAAAGGAGTCTGTGGCTTTCTAAATGTGGAGAACCATTAAGGCAGATTAGGCCCTATCTCTAGAGATAAATCTCCAGAAACCAAATAAATAGGGGAAAATCGGTTGGAAAATAAGAATTGAGGGTATTTTGCTTCATACAGTACTATTTTGAACTCCTTGAAAATAAAACCTGGGGCTAGAGGTGTAGCTCAGTGGCCTAGCATGCATGAGGACCTGGGTTCGATCCATACACACTGGGAGAAGAAAAAAGGAAGGAAAATAAGAGTCTATTTTCCTTTTTTTGTTTTTTTGTTTTTTTTCTTGGTACCAGAGATTGAACTCAGGACCTTGCACTTGTGAAGCAGGCATGGCACCAATGAGCTAAATTCCCCAGCCCATCCTGGCCTTTTATTTTTTTTTTTCTAACATCCATTTTAATAAATGCATGGCCCTAGAGAGACATAGACAAAAGACATGTTGCATCTGTGTTGGTCCTAAGATCTGCATGAGGAGAAGTTTGATTTGTAGTTATAATCCTACTTGGTGAAATTTAGAAAAATGGGATGTTATTAGGCACTTTTTAGTTCTAACATATATTAAACATGCTATTATGAGACTTTCTAAACAAAAAAAGCCAAAATAGTAGAATGATCATGCATAAATATAGCACATAGTTTAATAGTAACTTTTTGCCACATTTACTAGATAGGTAGAGGGTGTATAGCCTCTGTTTGTAATTTGTTTTCATTTTGTTTTTGTTTGTTTTTGTTTTCGTTATTTTGGCGAAACCATTTTAAGTTGTAGACATTATCCCTTTTTAGCAAGCATCTCCCAAGAATAAGGATATTATCCTATATAACCATAACACTCTTGTCACACCTAATGAAATTAACAATGAGTCCTTAATGTTATGTAGTATGCAGTTCCTCTTCTAATTTTCCCAGTTGCAACATTTTCTTTAAAAGCGGTACTGGGGATTGAACCTGGGGCTTCCATTCCGAGCTATAGCTCTAGTCCTTTTTAATTTTTTGATACAGGGTCTTGCTAAGTTGCCCAGACTGGGCTTGAACTTGCCATCCTCCTACCTGTCTCCTGAGTGGTTGGGATATTATAGGTGTGTGCCACTATGCCTGGCTAAAGTCTTTTTTAAAATTTTATTTTCCTCATTTCTTTTTTGTATTTTTTGCCCTCCCTCCCTTATCAAAAGATGTTTTCTTAGCTGACATTCATGAACAAGGATTTTATTTTATTTTTTTTTTGTACCGGGGATTGAACTCGGGTCCTTGCACTTGTAAGGCAGGCCACTGAACCGCTGAGCTAAATCCCCAGCCCATGAACAAGTATTTATCAGCTTTTTTTAAAGGAATATAAAACTATTGATCACTGCTCACCATTATTTACAGTAAAGTAAACAATATACAGTAGGATAACATTCTGAGTACTGCAAAGTTATTTTTCTGGCTTCTGTTGAAACATAACCCGAATACTGAAAATACTGAGTCTACATGTAAGGAACAATTTGGGGGGGTCAAGAAAAACATGCAGGTCAATAATTTAGATTATAAGTTTGTTCACTCATTTATTCTAGCAGGTTCTAAACTGTGACCACCTCTCACCTCTAGCCACTCAGTAGGTTTCCATGAGCCAAGTCTTAGACATCCACAAATCCTGACTTTGAGTAGATTTCAACTTTAAGGGACTGGGTCATGAGGAATCTTTAACATTCCATTAATAACTCTTAGCTAAATAAAACAAACCAGGTTTTGACTAGTTACTTTATTTGGGTGGGGAAGTTGTTGGTAATGATAAAATTTTTCTTTTCAGGAATTTTGTAAGGGAACTGCTGTATTTTTGTGACTAAAAGCACAGATATGGATTCTGATATGGCTGCTTTGAAAATACCCACTTTGTCCAATTAACCACAATCATCTATTTAACTTGAAAGGTTATGGCTTCAGGAAAACTTTCAGTTTAACTTAATTTATTTCTTAGGTTCCTCAGAATGAGTATTTTATTTATAAACACCCCACAAAAACTCTGAATGGTCCTTAAGCATGTGAGCTAAAAATGAGTTCTGTTTGAGTTTGAATATGGATAATTTCCCCAATATTTAGAAATGCAGAGGAAATATATCAGGCTATCAATGCTGTTTTCTGATAAAGGAAGTAACTACAGAAAGCTTTTTATTTGTTGAAAGTAAATAGTGCTATTGATGGAAAACAAAACCCAACAACTTCCCCAAATACTACTTTCAAAACCAACATATTAAACTTGATTCTCATTAGAATGCAATTTTTTTCACACTAGTAAATAAAAAACCAAGGCCCATATTTCATTCATATATATATATATATGATGTAAGTTATTGAGCTTTGTCTTCTGGACAAGAATGCCAGGTTAGTCTGTCTTCATAAAAAGCAATTACAATTTGAGGACAGTTCATATTTGCCTCTTTTGCCAGTACCAAGTCAGCCTCCTTTGAATCTTTCCATTTCCTGAGAAACATCTGTTCTCCTCTACTGTCTGTGGTACCAGTTATTCGTTCAGGATCAAGACCTCTAGCAAAGCCTCTAGGTTTTTCAGCAGCATCTCCTCTTTGATTTGCTATCATCAGATTCACTGTCAGATAAAGATTTTCTTTTTGTACCATATTCTTTTCCACCTTTTTGAGAATTAAACACTTCAGTTAATTCTGCACAGTCTAAATTTTCTTCAGGTTCCCATGTATTGTCAGCATATGTAAATCCCTTCCATTTCAGAAAATACTCCACCTTCCCATTCACTACACAATGGTCCAGTACTTTTTCTACCAAAATTCTTCAGGCTCTGCTTCCTCAACTTACTTACTTTTTCCATTTTGTTTCTTTACCATTTTTTGCAATGTAGTTTTATTGGAGGCCATTTTTCATTGCAAACTTTAAGAGCTATTATTCACTGTTTGGGATGTTGGCATTGCTGGTCCGAAGAGTCTTGGCCTGTGATCCTGCAGCTGCACTCACCTGTTGACGTTTTCATAGCGTATTCATTTTTTAATCTCCCTTTTCCCATTTATCACAAGGATTTTCAAACGTGCAAAAAATTGAATAGTGTAATGAGCACCATTAGAGCGGTTACATTTGCCATACAGTGGTGCCTCAGTTCATGAACTTAGTTCTTTTCACAATTCCGATCACAAACTGAGTTAGATGAGAACTGAATCAAATTTAATGGTTAGGCTCAATGTTGACCTTA